GGAAGTTCCTAACCTTACATATTAATAGTTATTTTCAATCAGGCTTACTTCTGTTAGCCAGTCTTCACTTCTCACGAATGTGTTAGCTAAAATCAATTTTTCATAACATCTAGAAGAGGGTAATTTGAGAGTAGATTTGGTTTCTGTATCTTCAAGTTATCTACACACTTCTGATTTAATTTTGTTAAAAATATATGCTATTTGTTGTTGTTCAGTCACTAAGTCATGTCGGACTCTTTGCGACCCCATGGACTGCAGCATGCCAGTCTCCTCTGTCTTCCACTGTCTCCTAGAGTTTGCTCAAATTCATGTCTTTTGAGTTGGTGTTGCTATCTAACCATCTCATCCTCTTTTGCCCCCTTTTTCTTTTGCCTTCAGTCTTTCCCAGCATCAGGGTCTTTTCAAATGAGTCAGTTCTTCACATCAGGTGTCCAAAGTATTGGAGCTTCAGCTTCAGCATCAGTCCTTCCAATGAATATTCAGGGTTGATATCCTTTAGGATTGACGGGCTTGATCTCCTTGTAATCCAAGGGACTCTCAAGAATCTTCTCCAGCACCATGATTTGAAAGCATCCATTCTTCAGCACTCAGCTGCCTTTATGGTCCAACTCTCATATCCATACATGACTACTGAAAAAACTATAACTTTGTATGGACCTTTGTTGGTAAAGTGATGTCTCTGCTTTATAATACACTGTCTAGGTTTGTCTTGAGCTTTCCAGGTGGCTCAGTGGTGAAGAATTTACCTGCCAGTGCAGGAGGCTTGCATTTGATCCCTGGGTCGGGAAGATCCCCTGGAGGAGAGCATGGCAACCCACTTCAGTATTCTTGCCTGGATAATCCCATGGACAGAGGAGGGCTACAGTCCATGGGGTCATAAAGAATCAGACGCGACTTGAGTACACATGCTTGCAGTAGGTTTGTCATAACTTTCCTTCCAAGAACAAGTGTCTTTTAATTTCATGGCTGCAGTCCCCATTCACAGTGATTTTGGAGCCAAGAAAATAAAATATGTCACTCCTTCCATGTTTTCCCCTTCTGTTTGACCAGATGCCATGATCTTGGTTTTGTTAATGTTGAGTTCCAAGCCAGTCTTTTCATGCTCCCTTTTTACCCTCATCAAGAGGCTTTATGGTATCTCTTCACTTTTTGCCATTAGTATGGTATCTGCATATCTGAAGTTGTTGCTATTTCTCCTGGCAGTCTTGATTCCAGGTTGTGTTTCATCTAGTCTGGCATTTTGCATGGTTTACTCTGCACATAAATTAAATAAGCAGGGTGACAATCCCTTGTCGTACTCCTTTCCCAATTTGGAACCAGTCAGTTCCAGGTCTGGTTCTGACTGTTGCTTATTGACCTGCATACAGGTTTCTCAGAAGACAGGTCAGGTGGTCTGGTATTCCCATCTCTTTAAGAATTTTCCGGTTTGTTGTGATCTACAAAGTTAAAGGCTTTAGCATAGTCAGTGAAGCAGAATTAGATGTTTTTCTGGAATTCTGTTGCTTTTCCTATTATCTAGTGGATGTTGGCAGTTTGATCTCTGGTCCCTCTGCCTTTTCTAAACCCAGCCTGTACATCTGGAAGTTCTCAGTTCACGTACTGTTGAAGCCTAGCTTGAAGGATTTTTGAGCATTACTGTGCTAGCATGTGAAATGAATGCAATCATATGGTAGTTCAAACATTCTTTGGCCTTGCCCTTCTTTGGGATTGAAATGAAAACTGACCTTTTCCAGTCCTGTGGCCACTGCTGAGTTTTCTAAATTTGCTGACATTTTGAGTGCGGCACTTTAACAGCATCATTTTTTAGGATTTTAAGTAGCTCAGCTGGGGTTCCATCACCTCCACTAGCTTTCTTTATAGTAATGCTTTCTAAGGCCCACTTGACTTCACACTCAAAAGATGTCTGGCTCCAGGTGAGCGACCACACCATTGTGGCTATCTGGGTCATTAAGGCCTTTTTTTGTGTCATTCTTCTGTGTATTCTTGCCGTCTCTTCTTAATCTTTTCTGCTTCTGTTCGGTCCATACTATGTCTGTCCTTCATTGTGTCTGTCCTTGCATGGAATGTTCTCTTGATATCTCTCATTTTCTTGAAGAGATTGCCAGTCTTTTTCATTCTGTTGTTTCCCTGTTTCTTTGCGTTGTTCTCTTAAGAAGGCCTTCTTCTGTCTCCTTGCTCTCCTCTGGAGCTCTGTGTTCAGTTGGTATATCTTTTCCTTTCTCCTTTGCCTTTCACTTTTCTTCTTTCCTCAGCTATTTGTAAAGTCTCCTTAGGAACCACTTTGCCTTTTTGCATTTCTTTTTCAGTGACTCTGGTCACTGCGTCCTGTACAGTGTTGTGAACCTCCATCCATATTCTTCAGGCACCCTGTCTACCAGATCTGATTCTATCTATTCGTCACCTCTACGGACTACCCTATAGCTCAAATGGTAAAGAATCTACCTGTGAGGCAGGAGACCAGGGTTTGAACCCTAGGTTGGGAAGTTCCTCTGGAGAAGGGAATTGCAATCCACTCCAGTATTCTTACCTGGAGAATTCCATGGACAGAGAAGCCTGGTGGGTTACAGTCTGTGGGGTCACAGAGTTGGACATGACTGAGTGACTAACACAGTTTCGTCACCTCCACTGTATAATCATAAGGGGTTTAATTTAGGTCATACTTGAATGTCTAGTGGTTTTCCTTACATTCTTCAGTTTAAGCCTGAATTTTACAAAAAGCAGCTGATGATCTGAGCCAGTGAGCTCCAGGTCTTGTTTTTGCTGACTGTATAGAGCTTTTCCCATTTAGTGATGTCCATGTGTAGAGTTGTCTCTTGGGTTGTTGGAAGATGGTGTTTGCTATGACCAACATGTTCTCTTGACAAAACTGTTAGCCTTTGCCCTGCTTCATTTTGTACTCCAAGGCCAAACTTGCCTGTTAACTACAGTTATCTCTTGATTTCTTCTTTTTATATTCCAGGCCCTATGATGAAAAGGACATCTTTTTTTGGTGTTAGTTCTAGAAAGTATTGTAGGTGTTCTATATTTGCTATAGAAGTAACTTTTAAGACCAGGATATCTAATGCTTCCATTTTATGTAAGTTCAAGGGATGATATTTTCTTTACAGTATGGTTATTTTGAATATCCTTCTTCTAAAAAAAGTTGAACTTTTGGGATCCTTAAATGGGTTCCCAGGGAAAATGTTTTCTAACTTTTTAACAAGTATAGGATTTTGGAGGGAAAGATTGTTCAGTTTTAGGGTTACTTTTTGATACTTGCATTAAATAACTCTAATATTAAATCTAAATTGAATATATGTCCATTGTTTAAATTTTATTCCTTTGCAAAATGTTATTGTTTATTTCTTCATTATGAATTCTGACACCACTTAAATTGAAAAATGTTTTGTTTTTCTTGGGTGGTTTTTCAATTTCAGAGCTCTCTGTAGGTACAAGATAATCATATAGACTTCCCAACATGTAGGCACTTGAATTCATCTGCAGTGAATAATGTCATCTTCTGTTCTGTTGCTCAATTACTTTTGTTTCCTGGAATGCTTCACAGTTCAGGCTTATTAGTATCGCACATCTTGGCTCATTATAGTTCTTAATGTTGTTAGTCTGAATGGCGTATTTTCTGTTTTCAGATGTATTCTTGATAGAACGTTTCCTAAGCAGAAATTTTGCTGTTTTAAAATAGAAGAACCCTAAAACTAAGGTCTGACATTTTATTGCATTGGTCTCTTAAGGGGCAGTGTTTACTCAACCAGTATTGAGTGAGCGCCTGTTGTGTCAGGTTCTGCACTTAGACACAATGCCTGCACTTACTGCAGGCTTATATTCTAATGTATAGAAAAAGATTATAAAATCCTTTTTTATTATTTTTGTTTGCTTTTTTGGCTATGCCACGCAGCTTGCATGATCTTAGTTCCCCAACTAGGTGTCAAACATGAACCTTGGCAGTGAAAGCACCAAGTCCTAACCACTGAACCACCAGGGAATCCCCACAAGTCTTTCAAATAAAGTCCGTCTAAGTGCTAGAAAGTAGAAGTGCAGTGTTCAGTGAGATTAACAGGGGACCAAATCTGGGGAAGGAGGTGGGACTCAAGTTCAGGCTTGAAGGAGTTTGGTTTGGCACATGGTGAAGATGGGATGCATAGAACTATAAAGATTGAAGAGGTTTTTATGTTTATTAAAAGTACAATTAGTTATTTGTAGATGTTGTTTATTGAAACTTTTAAGTTTTTATAGAGGAGGATTTGGTAAGCTTTAGATTTTACCAGAATGGCACTTGGAAGGCTTGTTGGAAATAACCAGTAATAGCTTGCCAAGAAGTGAAGTTACTTATGTCAGAGAAGATCTCTGAGCTGTTGCTGGATTTCTTTCCTAAAGGAAAGATGACTGATGGTGTTCTTTAGCACTAATGCTCTAGTGGTCAGTAATTCATAATTACCACTATCAACACTTCATCTTTCAAACTTTATTGCCAGGACTAATTCAGAAATGTTTTTCCTTTCCGAATCTTCAAATTAACATTACTTTAGAATATTACACTGTGCTGATTCAGGGCTTTAAGCACATACACTAGTATTCTAATTCAAGAACCTGAAAAATTTATAGAACAGTTAGAAATTTAGTAACTTACTTTAGAAACTGTGGTTGAGTCAACTGGGAATATGAGTTGAAGAATGTAATTTTGCTGAGAATTAACTTGTTATTTAATAGTTTTTAACTATTCATCAATTGTGTATAGTTTTGATTTTGGCATCTTAGAATGTAAAAAGTTGCTCAGACTATTTATAATCATTAAGTAGACTTCCAACAGAACACCCCAAAGTAACTCTTAAAGGTTATCAATAATCAGTTATTAGGAATTAAATTATATAGAAAAGTTTTTTAGAAATCCTCTTGTAAATGACAAGTGCAATATATTAAGTTTGTAGGTTAACACTTAAAACTTTATATGTGTGCATATATGTCTTTGTTATGTGTAGAATTAAAATACTTTTTTCTCTCGACAGGAAATGCACAATTTTGAGGATGAGTTAACATGTCCCATTTGTTACAGTATTTTTGAAGATCCTCGTGTACTACCATGCTCTCATACATTTTGTAGAAATTGTTTGGAAAATGTGCTACAGGCATCTGGTAACTTTTATATATGGAGACCTTTACGCATTCCACTCAAGTGCCCTAACTGCAGAAGTATTATTGAAATCGCTCCAAGTGGTATTGACTCTTTACCTGTTAATTTTGCATTAAGGGCTATTATTGAAAAGTACCAGCAAGAAGACCATCCAGATATCATCACCTGCCCTGAGCATTACAGGCAGCCCTTAAATGTTTACTGTCTCCTGGATAAAAAATTAGTTTGTGGTCATTGCCTTACCATAGGTCAGCATCACGGTCATCCTATAGACGACCTTCAGAGTGCCTATATGAAAGAAAAGGACACCCCTCAAAACCTGCTTCAACAGTTAACTGACGCACACTGGACAGATCTTACTTGTCTTATTGAAAAGCTGGAAGAACAAAAATCTCATTCAGAGAAAATGGTCCAAGGTGATAAGGAAGTTGTTCTCCAGTATTTTAAGGAGCTTAGTGATACATTAGAACAGAAAAAAAAAATTTTCCTAACAGCTCTTTGTGATGTCGGCAATCTGATTAATCAAGAATATACTCCACAGATTGAAAGAATGAAAGAAATAAGAGAGCAGCAGCTTGAATTAGTGACACTGACAACATCTTTACAAGAAGAGTCTCCACTTAAATTTCTTGAAAAAGTTGACGATGTCCGTCAACGTGTGCAGATCTTGAAACAAAGACCACTTCCTAAGGTCCAACCTGTTGAAATTTATCCTCGAGTAAGCCAAGTGTTGAAAGAAGATTGGAGCAGAACAGAAATTGGACAAATTAAGAAACTTCTCATTCCTGAAATGAAGATCTCTTCAAAAAGGATTCCCTGTGCCTGGCCTGATAAAGAGGAAAAAGTTGAATTTTTTAAGATTCTAAACATTGTTATAGTTACACTAATTTCAGTGATACTGATGCTGATCCTCTTTTTTAACCAACCCATAATAACCTTTTTAAATGAAATCACTTCAATATGTTTTTCTGAAGTCTCTCTCTCTGTTTACCAAAGTTTATCTAAGAATGTGCACAATTTAAAGAATATACTATGTCACACTGTGTATTTACTGAAGGAATTCATGTGGAAAATAATTTCTCATTGAACATTCTAATCTGGATTATTTAAGTAGGCTTATTCTGTACAGCAGAGGCTAATGACCGTCGCAAGAGGAATATAGGGGCAGTGTGGATAAATAGCAAGCTAAAGTTTGTTAGAATTGCAGCAAAAATAATCCCTTTCATGCTTCTGTTGAATACAAAACATGTCATCAGAAGTTAGAAATGAGACAGAATGTCTGGTTTTCTGAAAACCAGAACAAAATCTAGTGATTACTTAAGTATTAATACATTATCCCATTTTTATTGGTTTGTAAGGTTGACTTACTGTTATAACATTCTCATACCAGTAGTGTTTTAGCATCATATATTGCAGTGTGGTTGGCTTTGCAGTTCTTTGTGTATAGTTTTTAATTAAAAATGTCAAAATTCCAAAAGATATAAACTAGACACTTTTGAATGGGCAAATAAAGATGGTGAGAAGAGGTTTTATATTTAAGTAGCTAAGTCAAAGTGATAGGGAATTGCTTATGTTAAAGATACGTTTGATCAAATGTACCTGATCCACACATATAGTGTGTTTTAGATTTAAGTGCCTATAGTTTCTGTAACATTCATTCCCAATAAAACTGTTGCTTTTGGAAATCTAGTGTTTTTAGGGACAAAACAGTAACATTTCCTAGCACTTACTGTCCTATGATTCATGTACATTTTAGGATTGTATTGATATTTGACTTTTGTGTAGTTTTTGTCTTATTAGTCATATCAGTTCTTGGGAAATATTGATATGTCCCACCCTCATTATGTTTGGATGGCATCATGTTAACAATGTCTTTAAAATTGTCTTAAATTTCCTAGTTCTCTTACGCTAATGCAAAGCACCAATAATTAATTTGATGTTATTTTCTTGAATTGTAAGGGGCGTCTGCCTAGCTACCTAAGTCAAATCCCTTTGATGTAGTTCCCTTTTTGTTAACAAGGACTGAATTGTGGTCCTGGTAGGACTATTGACACTTTTGTCCATGCAACCCTAAGTACAAGCTCACTTGCCCAAATTCCAAGTTGGCTGTAGTTTTAGACAGCGTGTTTAGGAGCTGACTGCTCACCGTCCTACAGGTGGCTGTGATCAGGGCACCAGTTCCAGAATATCCTAAGACTTAGACCTTATCTGCTGAGAACAAGTCTGAACATTAAAGATGGCTGGTTATACTCAGTTCATGATCAGAATATCAAAATAGCACAACTATTGTGTGGCAAAGAACATTTGGAGGTAGAAGATGTGTATACAGCTACACACCAAATGAAGACTGGAGTTGCACTGACTTGATCAAAGTTAAGACACAGAAACGCCACATACTTTTTGCAATACATACAATTAATCTCACATTTCTGAATTAAGTATTAATCCTTGCTTTTTTGTGTATTAGGAAACAGACACAAAATTGTCCAAAGCCATTTATTTAGTATGAGACCCATATATTTTTTAAAGAGTTCACCTGTTGTGTTACCTTTAAAGAATTTAAACCAAGATTTTTACTAGGATTTCTAACATGTCTATGAATCACAGCTAGAAATGGAAACATTTTAGGTTTGACATTCATTTTTAATAACTTGCCAATTTTTAGTAAATACTTTTACATAAATTTTATGTAGGCTGCATGAATAATCCAATATACAAAATAACTGACTCTTTTCCATGCTCTTCTGTTTTGTATTTTTGAGGATGGGATTGTAAAATTTAAAGTATATAATCTTGAAATATTTCTAAGTTTTTATGTTTAACAAAAGTTTACATTATAATAAACTCATTTATTGAGTGGCTTAAGGTGCTGAAACTCAGAGGTTGCTTTGGAATTTTCTTACGGGCTATGGGCATTATCTACTTTAACTTTTTAAAAGCACTACACTTTTCCATTAGTTATGAAAATATTAAATTCATCTCTGTTCTCACCAATGAAAAGACCTTGATTATACTGACACTTTTTTCTAGTTACCTTTCTTGTATAATCTTGACTTTATAAACAAATGACCATACTTGAATTTTAGATCTTACTTTATTTAAGTCCATGCTAATGTATTTACATCTTACTGATTATGATACAGACTGTCTTTGTTGGGTTTCAGTACCTAAACAATAATGCACTATGAATAACAAGGTTATTTTTACAAGGTTATTTTAAATTTTAATTCTCAGGCTATCTAGAAACTGAATAGCTTAGACCAGACTTCTGATTCAATACCAGGATTTTTTTCTGAAAATGAAGTGGTTGCCATCATATTTCCAGTAGTATATTCTTGAGCTAATGCAGTGTAACAATAACAAGAAAGCCTTCTGACAACTTGATGGACAAACAGTACTGCAACCTAATTTCCATTTATACAAAAGAAATTAACCCTTATACACTTAAATCATTCTTTTTCTGAAGCAACTATAGTGGGTATTTTTCCTTTTCAACCCACTCAAGTTATTTCAGACATTTGCTGGCCCTTTCACAAGTGTTTAAACAGTCAGGCACATTAGTTTAAGAATGTATAATACTCAAATTCTCATTCTTACAATTCAGAATGACTGGTTTAACAAGATTTAGTTTACAACTGTACTATTCATCAAGAATGTACTTTTAACTCTGCAGGTAGCACTGTGGAACTAAGGGGAAGTTATCTGACTGTCCAGGCATCTTATTTTCTCCATAGTACAAAATTGTCAGATTCTTACAATCTCCTAGAAACAGGCATATGGAGAATATTTTATTAAACTTGTAACATCTCTTAATTAAGAGCATAAAATAGAAACTATGATACAATTTAATAGGTATTTTATATAATTTATATCCTTTACAAATAGAAAGTAAATACAATATGTTGAATCTATGGTAAGATTTTGAAAAATCTTCAGATTAAGCAAATTTAGCAAAGTCCTTTAGATGCAATTTCTTTTGGGTTTACTGCAACGCTTTTTGTTATATTGTATGTCTTGTAAATTCCAATAAGTCTATCTGAAATCTCAAACATATTATTTCGAAGAGAAATTATTATGAACTGGGCATTTTTTGTTTGTTCCTAAAGAGAAAAAAACATAATAAATTAGAAAAATTATACATATATATGTAAATGTATGAATCATAATAAAGATCTAACTTCACTTACCTAAAATATTTCTTAGGCAATAAATTGAACATGACATTGATAATTAATGTGAACAAGAATGACAACATGGGTAATTCATGAGATAGTATCTGGGTTAGAGAAGAACTCAGGTATTTGGAAGGATAGTTGCCTAGTAGAAGTCTTGTAGTAGAAAAAAGATCTGGGAAAAGAAAAAAGTTCTACCTGTGTTTCTGCTACTAATTTACATTTATATTTTACTTTACCAAAATGGAACTATTTCGCTCAAATAAAGTGGTCTCTATTAATACCATGGGAGTAGAGAATGGCAAAAGCTTGAAAGAATCCAAATAATTCCATGTGTAATGTTTAGGGAACACATTAATTCTCAGAATGAAAAGCTCTAGATGATTACTTACATATATGTAAAATGCAACAATAGAAACATTTTTGAAATCAAGGGCTGCGTCAATCTCATCCATGAAGTAGAGGGGAGTGGGTTTATAGTGATGAAGAGCAAACACTAAAGCCAATGAACTAAGTGTTTTCTCTCCTCCTGAAAGGTTGAAGATCTTCTTCCAACTTTTCTTAGGTGGTCGAACACTGAAATAATTAAGAAAATCTCGTCATTTAAATTACTTGTAAAACTAAATTAAGACTCCATGATTTGTTTCCTGTAATTGGCTTCTACCACCTTCCTTGGAAATACCTAACTTGCTTTTTCATAAATATAAATTATTGGTGGGTTATTTTATAAAAATATTATTGGAGGATGAACACATAAGAACACCCAACGAAAATTTAAGATTTAAACAGTAGATCAGTAAGTCAGTCTTGCTAGTCTTCCTATTTCCCATGAATACTGGAGTGGGTAGCCTATCCCTTCTCCAGGGGAACTTGCTGACCAATGAGCTGAACCAGGGTCTCATGCATTGCAGGTAGATTCTTTACCAGCTGAGCTACACAGGAAAACTGTAGGCAAACTAGTTATTTATCAAATAAAATACGCTGTAGACTTAATTGTCATATCCCACCCCTAAAAAATACTAAGTTTGGGGCATATGTACAGAGATGTTAACAGAAAAATCCAAAACTTGGTATATGGCATCATTACAAACCTGAACGTGATTCCTTCAGAGAAAGGATCCATGCTGTCTACAAGGTCCAGCTCAGCATCGCCTCCCAAAGTAAGCATTTGGTAATTTTCCTTTAATTTATTTGTTATTATATAAAAACCTGCCATGAATTCATTAAGTCTTTGTTTTCGAAGATCTTCATATGCCTGTCTAAAATTATCTCTTTCATTAGTAATTTTATCCAATTCTGCTACCCGTTGTAAATATAATTCTTCCTTCTTTTTATAATCTGCAATGGCGCCAAGATTGGGTTTCATTTCATGACACTGGGCTTCCAAAACTGCAATTTGATTGGTTATAGAATCTGGGTTCTTGATTGCTTCAAGCTCTTCTGGGCTTAGAACTGGAACCTTTTCAACGTGATTATCTTCTATGGGATGCAGTGATATTTTTGAAATCTATGAAGTTGGATGAATATTGGAAAATGCAGTGTTACAATTCATTGTTTCAAAAAAAACCTCCCAGGGACTTCACTGGTGGTCAAGTGGCTAAGAGGCTGCCTTGCAATGCAGGGGATGTGGGTTAGATTCCTGGTTGGGAAATTAGCATTCCATATGCTACAGAGCAACTAAGCCCTGGTGCGACAGCTAGAGAGTTCATGCACTGTGATAAGAGATCCTGCATGGAGCAACTAGGACCTGACAGCCAAATATATTTAAAAAAAAAAAACACACACAAATTTAAGACAAATTACCAGAATGACATATAATAAGTGGTGACTCTTTAGTGTATCAACTATTTTTCAAAGGACTTAAAAAAAAAAATAGTAGTAGTGCTCAAGTGTTCATGTTCAACCTCTGTATCAGCCCTGGGATGAAAATGTTGATTAATTCTAACCATTACTCTTATTTTTCTGTATATAATAACTCCTATATACTGTTCATTTTGTTCCCTATAAACCTGAGATATGATTATATAGCCTGAAATTAAGAATTACAACATACTTCAAAAACACAAACCCCAACTTTTTTCATAAAGGGTATTTTAAATTTACACTTGACTAACAATTCTCACCTCTTTTTGCCAATATTTTATTTTAGAATTATGTTCACCAATGTGACCATCTATTTGTTCAAGTTTCAACTTAATACTAAGTGCATCTTTTTGGAGAGCATGTTCATTTTCCTGAATTACTTTTAGTTCTTGAAGTAGGTTTCGATGTTCTTTCTGAATTTCTGGTAAGGATGCCTAGAAAACAAAAAGAGCTGCTATAGATATGATCTCAGAATAGGGATTTTCACATTACAAAGATGAAGTCAGCACTCTCGCCTCATGCCTCTTTCACTTTAAAGAAAATGTTTTTATTTACAGTAAGTTAAAATAGTCATTTTTTATTACACAGATGGAAGTTAATATAAGTGTAACCTACTGAATGCTTACTACACAAGGTACTGATGTCATCCATAATTCTCTACTGCTTCAAAGAGCACCCTCTCCCCATCTTACCTCTGCGTCATTTGTATTCTTTACAACCTCTGCTGCTTTGTCTTCAAGACTTTTTAGCTCTGTTGTTAAGTCATCTACTTCTTTCTCAGTATCTTTTATTTCTTTCTCTGTACGTAAGACACTGTCTTGTGCTTTTTTAAGATTTCTAAACAAGCAAAATCTTATATTAAAAACTTTTCATGACATTAATGTGAGTTTTCGATCACAGATTTAAAAAAATGTTTAAAAAAACTTATGTTTTACTAAAAATCTTTCAATTGATTTTTATGTTTGTACACACATTTGTGGGATGTTGTATATTTTATTAAACTCTCAAATTAATGAAACTTCCTTATATAAAATTTTCGTTTCATTCAATCTTAAGACTATGAAGCAAAATTGTCCACTGTATTATTATAGTCTTGTCATTTTCTTGTCAGACTGGAGGTTCTTAAATCTTTAACTCTTGAAACTGTATCTTCAAGTAAATTACTTCCTGGTTCAAGTCAGGGAAAATAAGTGTTTTGGGCAGAGGGAGGAAATGGGCAAAGGACACCAGGGATGACAATGACACACACACACAACTATTTTCCCCTGTGACTGATACCTGTGTTTAGGTAAAACACTGCTTATTAATTAGCACCTTTTAACAAAGGACACTACAATAACTGAATAACCAGATAAACACTATGCAACCAATTTATAATTCTAAGACAAACAGCTGTTTACATTTCAACATTGTATACATACTGTGCTTTATTTTAGAATACTTTAATACTCTAAAATTTAAAACAAGACCTGTATTATGAATGTATTAAAAACTTTTTGGGACAATGGAATAATCTAAAATTTTCAGTTACTAAAACAATTATGCTAATAGATCTCATCCTTCTTATTCTCATAAGACCTAGATCTATTTAAATGAATCACCATCTAATCCTCTAAACCAGAGAAATGAAACTCTTAACTTCTGTGTCCTCACAACTAGGGAGTTACATAACCACATTTTGGTAAGCCATACCTGTTTTATCAGTTTTCACAAACTAATCATATAATGTTTATTATTGGCCTCCACCTATTAAAATCCTACTAGGTAACAATGTCAGATCTTAATAAGTAACAGGAAACATTTATTAGACATTAAATTTAAATATTAATCCTTTTCAGTGTGATGTGGGGAAGAGGAAGACAGGGTAGTATGCAAACTCTACCTGTCAGCAGTCTTGATTGCCACTTGTGCCTTAGTAATAGCAGAAGCACATTCATCTAATTGCTTATTTATTTTATCAAGTTTGTCTTGTTGAGCCTTGAGTTTATGGTTATTGATTTCTACGATGATATTGTGTAACCTTTTAACCTCAGCTTCCACTTTACCAGCTCTCTCAGCCACATTGTTATACTCTGGGGGATAAAAAAAGTAAAATTAATTTGTGTTTCTACACTAATAAGCATAATTTGTTAGATGCATTCAATAAATTTCTTCAGTCAATACAACTTAACCTGATACATGCAAAAGAAACTTTAAACATTTGAGGAAAAGGGCCTCAAAAACAAAGCAAAACCCCAAACGCAAAACCAGAATGCCCTATATGAAAACAAATGGTGTTACAACAACATATAGTTAATTCTTTGGCTCAGCTGTGAACATAACCCATATTTCTTAATGGCTTCATACTGTGAAGCTCTTTACAGAAGTTTATAGAGTACTTTGACTATTTGTCTTATAATGATTTTTTACCCTTAGACTCTGTACCCAACTACAGACTGGGGGTGAAGAAGCTGTGGTTATTTAATTCTGCTAACCCTCAAATTCTCTTCTCTATAACAAAGTGGGGGAGATAGAATAAAGTGGCACTTTTCTCTGTGGCACAGAAGGCTCTTAAGTTGCACTTCCTAGATTCCCTTGGACCTAGTGTTTAATAGACATAAATTTAAGTCCATTCTATCAAGAAAAATTCATACAATTTGGATAGCAAAAGTGATGAACTGAGCATGTTTCTGCTGGAAGTCATGGAAAAGTATTCTTGGTGGCAGTAGAGAATGTGATGTTCTGTCAAGAGTTTTGTGAAAACTGACAGGCAATGGCATTAACTTTGATGGGGTGGATTATAATAGGTAACAATGTGCTTCTGCTGTTGGCAGTTATAGTGTCATCTTCCTACTCTGAGAGACGGCTTTTCAATTGTTGAAGAGGCGGTATAGTTTCTTTCACGGTTTTGCAGAGTAGCGCTGGAAATTATTCTTAGCGTTTAACATAGAATTTAAGTTATCACAATGATCCTATAAACAATCATTTTCTCTCTTAAATGCACACTCCTGCACCAAAAATCCTATTTACACTAGCCAGAGTGGATTCTGTTCTCCATACCTGAACCCTAATCATTGTATGACGTAGAAAACATGAAAGGTGGCAAAAAGGTAAGGGGTTCAAGCTATCTATACCTATGTCTAGAAAGGAAGCAGATATCGTGCCAACTTAGAGAAACAAACTCCCATAAAGCTTCTGTGGGAGGTATGTAGCATTTAGCATAGAAGAAAGCAGGTAGGATTTGCTGAGAGGAAAAGACTTAACTGTTGTTTCCTCTTGACTGTCTATTCTCTGTTAGGTAAGAGGGAATTTCAATATTCTCCACATTTTACAATTATCTTTTTGTTCCACATTTATCAGAGAATTCTTTAGTCTGATTTTAAAAGCTCATCTAGTGAGTTTAATTAATTACAATGTCTATTTTTTGTATTTCTGAGATCACCACTTGATTTAAAAAAAAAAAGCTAAACAAAACCCTGCCCCTTTTAGTCTAACTCTCCCCTCTCCCTTAAAGATACTATATTTATTGAAAGAATTGTTTTGCTAACAGTGGCGAGTCTGTGCTCAGCTCCCTTGTGGGGTAGAGTGCCAGCTGCTGTGGGGTCACGGCGTCATGACTTACACTGGGATGGACCAAGTACGCAACTGCAAAGGGCTCCATTCTTCAGAACATCATTTTCCTTATTTTAAAGTACCTAACATGCAGTAAATTTCCCTGCCTATTTATAGTAGCATGTCTGTTAGAAATAGGAGGGGAAAATGGACATAATGTAATTTCTAATTTCAAAGTCACCATTTCATACCAGCTTGCTCCTTTTATTCTCCACACATTTGCCAGATTTAAAAAATCTAAATTAATGTAAAATGAAATATTTAATCTTAAAGATATGCTTGCATAAGTGGGCTTCCATATCAGACATTAAGAAAGTCTACTAATAATAACCAGTACTTCCACAAGAGGAGATGGCTCCTAATAAAGTCAAGGAGTCCTTTTCAAACTACAAATTCTTGTAGTCTCTCAATGAGAGTGTTGTTATGAATGATAAAGATTTATTTTTTGTTTGACCACTAGGTTCCATCAAAGCAGTAACAAATACTGTAGGTACCCTGGGGAAGGAGCCCTGGGGAAGGAGGAGTAGGGTGAAGTCTGTGTCTGCAAGAACAAAACACAAATCCAAAATAAATGCAAGGGAAAAAAAGGTCTTGTCAGGTTATGTCACCTCCCTGTGTATCACTCTGCAGTGGCTTTTGATTTCCCCTGGAGACATGGCCTATGAGGCTCTACATTATCTGGATTACTCTATCAGTTAATTCTAGGGATTCCTTGCTAGAAACTTCTGACATACTACTTTCTGCCCTAGGGTCTCTACATTCTTCCTGGAATGCTCTTCTCCCACATTTGCACTCATACTTCCCTTGGGTCTCTGCTCAAATCTCTAGCAGTAGCCTGTCTAACCACTGTGTCTATCTGAATCCCCATCCGGTACCATTTTCCTGGTTTTACTTTTATCACCTAGTACCACCTGTTATAGTATGTGATCTATTTGTTTAGTTTCCTTATCTCTTAAGGGTGAATTCCTTGAAAAGAGGGACTTTATTTTGTTCACAGCTTGATCAATAGCATCTAAAACAAAGCTTGGTCAGTAGCAGATACTTTTTTGAGTGAATACCTCAGTATTAAAAATATAAATAAAAAAATATATAAATATGACTACAAAAATAAAAAATACAGGTTTACATTAATATGCAATGTGCACAGTAGACATCTGTCTGCTTACAATCTTTTCACTTCTTTTTCTTTTGCAAGAAAAGGCCCTTATTTTTTTAACATTTGGATAATTGCTCCAATTCCAGTCCATCTAATACTTATGGATGAACAATCAGTATTTGTCTTCCTTTGCTCATGAACCAGACTGTAAAAAGGGTCTGTCTTGATGTGATGAAGGCTGTGTTTCCTGGGGTCACTGAAATACTGAGAAACTCACCGTTACCTCCTCCTGCACTTAAGATGATACCTATGTACATTTAACTGAAGCCAACATGAAGTGGGTTTCCCTGGAGACCTCTTTTCCAGGAGACCTTCCCCCGGAGAAGGAACTGGCAACCCACTCCAGTATTCTTGCTTGGAGAATCCCACGGACAGAGGAGCCTGGTGGACCATGGGGTCACACCAAGAGTTGGATATGACTGAGTGACTAGATGACCTGAACATGGAAATAGAAGTGGGCTACTCAAGTACACGGCCAGAGGATTTTAATGTCAAAGCCAGTTCTGACTATAAGCCTATGAACTAATTCCCTTTCTTGTTGAGTAACTTTGGTAGAACACTTACATGTTTATATATACAGAGGAAAAAAGGAATTCTGGAAAGAAAAATGTATGTTCTTTAAGTTCTCATTAACAGCACAGGTATTGGAATCAGATTGCCTTCATCCTGAATTCCTATATCACCAACATATATTATGTGACCTTGAGCAAATTATATAAACCATTCTGTGCCTCAGTTTTCATATCTGTCAAATGACATAATTTATTAGTACTCACTTTATAACCGTCTGAGGACGAAATAAAAATAAAAACCGTGTAACAGTGGTCACTTGAATGTAATATATATACTCTACTATTTTTTATTCTACAAATTGTGATCTTAAACATTACAAATATTACAAACCTGTTTTTTGACAATATAGGGGAAAAAGTCTGTATTTAAACATACCTGTCTTGAAAGCATTAACATTTTCTTCAAGCAATTTCTGCTGTTTTTTGTCAGGGACTGTAGCAAGTACATTAGCTTCAAGTTCCTTAACTTGGACATTCAAATATTCTTCTTGCTCTGATAAACGCTACAGAATGTTTTAAAATTCAAGGCCAGTATTTTAACTTACAAAAAATAATATTTGCTTTAAACATTTTAAATTTAAAAAGGTTCTTAAAATCTTTAAGAAAAACACAAAACTAACAAGAAAAGGCAGAAAACAAACAATAAATACAAAAATTGAAAATGGCCAACAAAACACATGAAATGTATAAATTCATTACAAAGACAAGTTAAATGCTATTTTTTAGTACATCCGTGTAGCAAACTTAGAAAATATTGAAGACTACTTAGTGTTCACTTAGAAAAATTATTTGCATATGCTACCAGTAGTAAATAAATGAGAACTTTTGGAGAACAATTTGGTGTTATGCACCAAATGCTTAAAAACATTGTACACATACTGGCTGTTAATTATAATTTTAGCACTAAGGAAATAATTGGATGAGCATATTAAGGTATGCCTAACAAGAATATTTAAAACATAGTGGTGTACACAGCCAACACAGAAAAACCTTTATCAAACTGTGGTACAAACTATGTCAATATAATTGCACACAAATTAAACTTACATTTGCTTGAAAAGGAAACTAATTACTGAGTGAAGAAAAGTTACTATAAGACTATAAAAATCCATATGCAAATTTAGTAGGTATATCAACATCTACCACATACATAAACACATACAAGCAAACTAGATACTGCCACTAAAAGTTAAAGGCCATACACAAAAACTGAAGGTGATAATCTTTTGCGTATTTTCTAAAAACTTTCCTGGTTTGGTTTTTTTAAAGAGACTGTGGGCATGAAAAAAAAGACTGTGGGTATGCATTGCTTTTGTATAATTAAGAAAACTTTCCACTTTATAAGGAGAATAAAATAAAGGGTCATTGTTACAGGAAGACACATTTCTGGCAAGTCCAAATGGAAACCAGAAATAGCTATGGCTGGAGCAACATTGTAACAGGACACTTATCATTAGTACTCAAGGAAGCAAAAAAATCAACAGACCCTAACCCAACCTCCCCCTCCCCTTTATATTTTAAAAATTATAAGCAAACAATAAAATGCTTCTGCCAAATTTCTGTTGAATTCCAACAGTTTCAGCTAATATTGGTAAAAAGGTACCTGGATGCTTGCAGAAAACTTTTCCAATGTATTCCTCATTTCTCGTTCACTATGCCTTAACCTAAGTATTGCTTCTTCCAGTTGTACTTTCTGTTCCTGAATTTGCACTGCTTTTTGAGAGTCTCTCTGCAACTGTGATTCCATTTTATTTACCTACAAAGAAAAATACTAGTGAATTAAGTTTACTCCAACAAGAGTTATTTCAGATTAACAGCAATGTATGAAATGATGAAAACCCAAATTTCTGATCTTAAAGACTAGAAACAGGGAGGGAGGTTCAAGAGGGAGGGGACATATGTATACCTATTGCTGATTCATGTTGCTGTATAGCAGAAACCAACACAACACTGTAAAGCAATTATCTTCCAATTAAAAAAAAAAGACCAGAAACACACCAAACACCCCAGTTTCAATTCTAAAACCTAATGCTTAGGAGATGGTCAACTAATTTCTGCATCACAGATCCAGGTGAAAAGACAATTTTAAGTGTTGTATAATCAATTATAGTTATAGTGAAGGCTTACTATCCAAATACTTAAGAGGAAGAATATAAACTACTTCAGAACTTTAAGGAAGAAAGTAGTATAGTGTTCTGATTGTGATAATGGAACATAGGTTTTTTTGGGCATTTTGACATTCTATTTTACTTCTGAAAACAAAATATTTTGAAATAAAAATCTGGAAACATATCAGAAGTCTTTGCTATATTTACAATTTAAGTCATTATTTTGAAATACAAAAGATAATTATGTAATACAGTAGTAACTGTGAAGAAACAAATGTCAAACAGTAAGTTAATAGTGAAATAAACTATATGATCCAAGTGTGGTAACAGAAAAAGATATGTTTTTGAGTACATACTTTTTAATTAACATATTTTTAGAACTTTAACAGGCTTCATATGAAATCCCACAGGTTATACACTAGCCATTTATAGCAAGTTCAACCTGTTAATTGAAAATATGATTACAGTACATTTAAAACAGTAGAATATTCTATAGTATGTTATGTATCAATAAAGCTGCTTTAACAAAAATGTCTCGACTAATTTCTGACCTCTTCTTCTGAGATTTCAACAACAACTGATGAACCCATCCTTCCTTTCATTACTTTGCTTCCACCGCCAGTCATTGTACCTGGAGAACAGAGAAGTCAGACTTACAGGTATGTCTCCCCCCAACAGGATTAAGTAGACTCAATAGCAAAGGAAAAAACTGTTACCTGACTGTTCTATGATTTGCCCTTGTAATGTTACCACTCTCCATCTTCTATCTTTTTGATAAGCTACTCGTGTGGCTTGATCTAAGCTGTCAGCTACTAAGGTATCCCGTAAGGCAAAGTAAAAAGCTTGGCGAATTGCCCCATCTTTTACTTTTACTAAATCAAATAACCGAGGAGTATTCTCAGGAGTTTGAATTTTGGTCATTTTCTTTGCCCACACTGCCATCTAAAAAAAAAAAGATGTTTCTTTAGGTATCCTTTATAGAATACACGTTACACATTATAGAATACACATGTTAAACATAAGGATATGTATACAAAGTTCTTAGTTATCTACATAACATTATTGTTATTTAAGAAAAAGATATCGTGAAATTATCTCTATTCACAGATGATCTGATCTTATATATATTGTGAGGAATCCTCACATGAAAGAACTATTAAAACTAACATGAATTCAGCAAAGCTGCAGAACATAAGATCAATATGTAGAAACTGTATTTCTTACACTAGCAATAAATACTCTGAAAATGAGATTAAGAAAATCCCATTTATATTAAAAAAAGAGATTAAAGAACAAACTTAAAGGACTCCTGATTTTAAAGCTTACTACAAATCTACAGTGATCAAGACAGTGTGACATCAATGCAAAGTCAGACATAAATAAGAGACCAGAAATAAACTCTTACATTTATGATTGGTTGGTTTTTGACGAGCATGCCAAGAAAATTCAATGGGGAAAGAATATAAAAGGTGTCAGAACAACCCAGTACCCAAAAGAGTAGCTGGACCCCCCACTTTAAAAAATTAACATGGATTAAAGAACTAAATGTAAAACCCAAAGCTCTAAAGCTCATAAAACAGAGAAAGTAAATCACCCTGACATTAGGATTACATGGTAGCTTCTTAGATATGACACCCAGTACCCAAGCAACCAAAAGTAAATAGACTGCTATCTAAAATTTGTGCTTCAGAGGATCCATTACAAGAATATGAAAAGATGGCTCACAAAATGGGAGAAAATATTTGCAAACTGTGTATTTGACAGACTTATATCCAAAATATATAAAGAACTCTTAACAACAGTAAGACAAACCAATTAATGAATAAGAATCTGAACAGAAGATAAAGAAATGGCCAATAAATAAGCACATGAAAAATTGGTGTACAAAAACCTGTGTACATGAACATTCATGGCAGTATTAACCATAAACAGCCTAAATACGGAAACAAGACAAATGTCCACCAATTGATGAATGGATAAACAAAATGTGCTACAGAACACAATGGAAAAGGGAAGAGCATTTGGCAATAAAAAGGATTAAAGTGCTGATGATGCAACATGAACTTTTTTTTAAAAAAGAGCAGACAGAGAACTGGATCTTAGGTCCCATAAAAGGGATCAAATCTCTGCCACTGGCAGTGGAAACAGAGTCTTAACTGCTGAACCACCAGGGAAGTTCCATCATGGATGAACTTTGAACACCAAGTTGAAGAAGCCATAAACAAAAGGCTACATATTGTGTTATTTCATTTATACACAATGTCCAGAATACATAAACCTAGAGACAAAAAGTCAATTAAAGGTTGCAGGGGGGTGGGAGAACAAGGGTAGTGATTGCTCGGGTGTATAGGGTTCCTTTCTTGGGGTAATGAATATTCCAGAATTAGATAGTGGTCATGGTAGAACAATCAATTCTGTGAATGTACTAAAACCCATTGAACTATATATTTTAAAATAATGAATTTTACGATTGTGAATTATATTTAAGTGTTTTTCTCTCTATTTTTTAAAAAAGTAGTTATCGAAGATGGAAGTTAGCATAGCAAACTACCAGTCACTCCAACATAGGAATGCATATTACTTTAGGGGAGGCAGTACAAGTTTTTTTTCCTCACAACAATGTAACCCCTAGAGCCTAATATAATCCTCAAGACCTACTAGGTGGTTCACTGAAGCAACTATGAGGAAAGACCTAGGATTCAAAATCAATCAACACCTGGCACTTAAAAACCAAAATACAGGTAGATTATAAATACTCACCTTATCCAAACCTATGAAGGTTGCAACTCCAATATTTTGTCTTTTAAGGAAGTTTACACATTCTTGGGCTGTATCAATAGAATCAACAACAATGTAGTCTAATGCATGACAACAAGATGAAATAGCAACATCGTATTTTTCATCAATTGTTCCTAAGTCCCCCTAATAAATAAGAGGCGGAGGAGGGGAAATGAACACACAATCAAATTAGCAGGGAATTAGGCACAGATCATTTCTATTTATACAGATTTTTCATTTAATTGAAGAACTATACCTACATACAGTTTACAAAAGTACAAAAATGGTATACAATGAAAAATTTAAGTGTCCTTCACATTCGATCTTTCTCTTCTGCAGAGGCAATCACTACCAGGGCTTTTATCCACCTTTTAAAAAAAAACTTATGGATATACAGAGTCTGAAATTTTAATGAGCACAAAATGAACAGAACTGTTTTCCCTGCATATAAGTGAAAATTTATAATGTGATGATTTGAAACCTATAATTGTTATAAGCAAAATAACATAGAATAATAAAACTCTGAATTATTGAAAACCATCTAAGTAAATCTGTTTGTCTATTAATAACTTAGCTATCAGGGAGCATTAACCAACTAGTTTCATTTTTCCTTGAGCAGAGGAACAGGACCAAACTGTGTATCTTCAAAAAACTAAGGCAGAAGTCCTTGACATGAAGATATGGAAGCAACTATGCTGGGTAATTTTCATCTGCCCTTCTCAATCACCTTCTTCTGCTTCCTTCTCTGGACGGCTGATTCAGGGAGTGCATTAATTGGTTCTTCTGGCTCTCCAGCTGAAGACAAACTGAGGTACCAGCCAGAAATGGTAGAACAGATGAAGGGGGTTGAAACATTTATTTTCCTCACTTCCTTCCAGCTACCTCTAGCCATGGCCAAATTCCCTTCCTTCTTCAGGTTCAGGAGTTCAGGCTTCAGGTACCCACTATCCCTAGCCTTAGGTTTTGACAGTATCCTTTGCGATTTTCCTAAACTCTAGCTACAACCCTCAGTATAATGGTATAAAGCTCAGAATATAATTTATCAAATTCTTATTTTTTTAAAGAAAAAAGTAGTTAAGTATATCAATAGAATTGGATCATTTTCTTTTTTTTTGACTTCTGAGAGATTTTATTTATGGCCTTTTACTCAATGCCCAAATGCCTCTTTGGGAAGGACTCTTGCGCCATCTGTTCTTAAAGTGACTATTTAACTATCCCAAACTTAATTTTTAATGGGCTTCCCTTATGGCTCAGGGGTAAAGAACTGCCTGCAATGCAGGAGACCTGGGTTTGATCCCTGGGTTGGGAAGATCCCTTGGAGAAGTGTAAGGCTACCACTCCAGTATTCTGGCCTGGAGAATTCCATGGACTGTATAGTTCATGGGGTCTCAGAGAGCTGGACACAATTGAGCGACTTGTATTTGCACTTCCTTAACTTTTAATGTGAAAGGATCCATAACAAAGAATTTTACTATGCCTGAGTGTAAGAGCAAAATGCTTAAAAAACACTTAATATACAGTTATTTTAAAGTTAAGAAAATTACAATATTTGAGAAAAATGTATAGTTACTTATAAATAAATTTACCAGCCGTCCATATATTCCTGGAATTCTGCCAGATTTTTTTTCTTGAATTATTGCATCAAGGACTTTCCCTCTACTTCGATTCATTGCTAAGGAACTCTTTGCTTCTTCAACTTTTTGGAAAAGATCACGAACCAAACTTTTGAAATTTATTTCTTCTTGTGTAAGTTTTTGAAGTTCTTTTTCTTTCTAAAGGTGAGAGTAAGGAAAATGAATCCCCAAAGCAGACACCCTTATTACAACATAGGAAAAGGCCAATAATAATAAACACCTGAACCAGAACTATGCCGTCACATTGTAATTGCTGCTTTGATTTTGAAAAATATGGATGGGTTTTCTATTTTAAAGGGGGCATAAATTATCTGGGTCAATAATAAGAACAACCTCAATATAGTCCTAGGAGCAGTGCACCGATTTGATAGAATGAGTAGACCTAGGGTTGTGGAAATCCCAGTTTTGTACCACATAATCATGCATAAATGTTTCCTAATTCTTATATTCTTACACTAATCAAAAATAGATCTCAATATAGGCTTCTAGATATGGGCGACTGGGTATGGCTATGATTAATACTGTGGTTTGCTTTCTAAATAAATCTTTTAGTTTATTATATATCAAATATATGTTAAATTATATAGTGTTATATAGCATAATTCATTATTCTAATTAAACCAAGGAAAACAAAAGCACAGCTCTGAAACAAAGGGAAACATGATGAGTGAACAGTACTATTTCTATACAAAAATGTCAGGCTGCCAACAAAGGAGAAACCTCACACATGTACACACAAATCCTAATTCTCAGTTCCTCAGTCTACCAATTTGGAGCAGTCATTTTTCCAACTGACATTCTCTTTCATTTCCTGGTTTTAAATTACCTCTATTACCAGTCATACTGGTTTCAAGTAGAAGCTCAAGTTATAAACACAATTTACCCAAAAATAAACTGAATCACCAGGAAGACAGAAGTCATAACTGAATATAACCTAAATTTACATTTAAATTCTACATGGCCATGAAGTTTTCTGATGACCAATCAGTATGCATTTACTAAAATGAAAGAGACTTTACTTTATTTTCAGTGTCATTACGCTTCAAAGAGCATCTTCTATTGAAATTTGCCTAATGATGCTTTGGAAATTAAAGTTATGAAATTCCTTACTCAAGGAGAGGAGAGAAGATTGATGAACTAAGTAAGATATCTTGATTAGTTCAGCAACTTGCAGTCCCAACAAAGAAAGTATATTCTTAAATCCAAAAATAGAAAAATACACTGCAACAGTTGACTTGCATATTTGTTCACACACACACATTTATTAGACTTTCCTGTATCACTGCATAAGTTGTCTACATTTACATTTAGCGAAACAAAACCTTTCTTTTGTTTAAATTATTTCCATGGGAAATAATGATGGTGATAGCAATATTATATGCTGTTTGACACTTGAGGGGAGAACAAAGTTTCTTGACAGTCTCAATTTAATCTGTATCAGATGGAGTACTGAAATATTAACCCCATTCTTTTGGGGAAGATTACACTAAACAACAGCATCAAAATCTATCAGTCACACCAGATGTTGAGATTAAAAAAATATAAGTATGTAAATATGTATGAAAACAAATAAAACTAGGGTTGACAAACAATGTTCATATGAAACACAGAAGCAAAGATTTACCTCCTTTAGCTCACGTTCAGTTTGAGGGAGTTTTGCCTCTATATCTCCAATAGCAGCTTTCCTTTCTTTGAGAGTCTCAGAAGCTGCCATTAGAGCTTCTTTGGCTTTACTTAATTGAGATACTGCAGTATTATGACGACTGAGATAGATATCAAGTTCTGATTGAGCTACATCCATCTTTGAACGTGCTTCATTTACTGATTTGCTGAAGTCCATAAGTTCTTTCTCTCGACTCTGTTAAAATATGATAGACCCCCATTTAATCTGAAATATGTGTTTTCAAACCTAAACCAAAGAGAAAACCATACATTTTAAATTTAACTTCATAGATTATGTAAGCATAATATACAGAAATAAATGTCATAAGTGAATGGACTAACAGTTTTTGCTCAGTTGTGAATGTTCATGGTATATGAAGTCTTTCCCCAACTGATTTAATAACAGCTTAATGAGGTAGCTGCTGCTGCTGCTAAGTCGCTTCAGTCGTGTCCAACTCTGTGCGACCCCATAGACGGGACGGCAGCCCGCCAGGATCCTCCATTCCTGGGATCCTCCAGGCAATACTGGGGTGGGTTGCCATTTCCTTCTCCAACACATGCATGCATACTGAGTCGCCTCAGTCCCGTCTGACTCCGTGCGACCCTATAGACAGCAGACCACCAGGTTCCTCTGTCCACAGGATTCTCCAGGCAAGAATACTGGACTGGGTTGCCATTTCCTTGTATTTCAATTTAGAGACTAATATGATAAAAAATCATGACCACCAACACACACACCCACACCACAGTAGAATATGTTCAAAGCACTATCCTGAATGTTTTGTATGTATGAATTCCTTAACGCAACAATCCTACGATCATCATCATGCCCATTTTGAGGAAACTGAGGTCAGAGTTTAAATAACCTGTTCAAAGTCATGCACTCACTCGTAAGCAGCAGAGCCTGTTTTTAGCTCCAAAGATACCTAGGTATGAGTCCTGGCTTTGTTACTAACCTAGAATGCCAAGGCACACGGGATCACTTGATATACATGAGATGAGCAAATGTGAAAAATTGATCTATAAAGTATTCTATTAGGAAAATGATTGTATGATACTTAGCCACTTTATCACATAGGCATCCTACTTACAAACTCTTATAGATGATACTAGAACATGTCCATATTTCAAAACAATCAATTTAGTCTGTCGAGAAACCCCAAAATACTTCACTGAGGTATAATTTACAAAGATCTTATATGTAACTGACTTAAGCAACCAAGAATTAACACAAGACCCATAGCTTTAAAACTATTACACAAGAGCTACAAAAGTAAAGAAGGGAGATGTCAACCTATGGTTAGTGCGGTTCCAAGCATATATAGGTAGTAACCAATTAAATTACCAAGAAAATAATTTAAGAGAAGAGAAAACGTGATGATTAAGTCAACATGAACAGAGAATAGCACATAAAGCAAAGTATCTGATATACAGTTTCTTCTACCACTTTAAGTTCTCATTCTCTGTTAACATCTTTTTAAAATGAGAAAGCAGAAAACAAAAAAGGAGAGTGTCTAGGTTGGCTATTTTCGTGGATGTTAGATATTAAAAGCCTAAACTTCTCATTCTAACAGTTCATTTTTTACTATTACTATAAAAACAATCTTTAAGATAGGAGGGGGAAAAAGCCATCAAAATAAACACCAACTGATAAAGAAATCTTACTTCTTTTTCTTTTTGAAGGCCTTGTGTTTCCTGTTTAAGGCTATCCATAACTTCCTTTAATTTTTCTTCTTCTTTTTCTTTTTCTTTCTCAAGGGCATTGTTTCTAGTTGTTGTCTCCCTTATGATATTCTCACTCTTGGCAGGTATACTTTTAAATTCTTCAACCTAAGATTATAAAACAAATTAAAAAGTTACTAGGAGCATGTACCTTTAGGCTATCCAATACCATTAATACCCAACTTACTTAAAAGCATTTCTCAAGATCTTCTAGACCTTTGCAGTTTTCATTGTAATTAGGTTTGAACCAGCTAGCTTTAGCAAGTGTACTTCCTTAACTATATGCTGAAATTTCTATATTCAGTCTAATTCATAGAATTAGGTAAAGATAATTCTATGAATCCTTGATTCCTTACAAAAGACAATTCTCCTTGGCTGGGCATTGTATCTTTCTTCCTTCTGCTGTAACTTTATGCTGTAATTAACCTTCTTCACCTACAAACATGGTCTGAGTACATGGAATTCCTTAAAGTATCCTTCACGGTACATTACAACCTACCACATATTACCTTTACACCTCCCCAGTCTCTCTCAAATCCTAAGATCTTTCCCAACTTTACCCTTTCAGAGTCACGATGTGGGACTAATATTTTATTCCATTAATACCTTCCAGTAATAATCACTCTTCCACAGTTGATGCCCAAAGGCTAATAACTGTTACTCAAGTTACATCTGGCTTACTCTGTCCAATTTAGGGGTTACTATGACATCCATGGTATTTTGTTTATCCTGGTTATCTATAATTAGGGAGAAATTAAACACTTTCCAAAATGTTATCCCTCAAACACTGATTCATATAAGATGTGCTACTACTGTACACACATAAAGTATTTTGTGAACAAATGCATTTGCTTATAAGGTAAAGCAGAGCCTATGTTATAAGTACCATGTAAATATATGGTACAAAACTTTTTTGAGGGGAGGGGCTTTCAGTGTTGCCTCTATGAATATCTGATTAAACTGTGAATATAGTTTGAAATGCTCCAAATTAATTATTAGTCTGGCTCCCAGCAAATTAGGCATTCTGGTCTAAAGTTCATTCTGGTCTTTTAAAACTTCAAACTAGCTAATCAACCCCTTGCTATAAATTATGGCTTCCCCTTCCCTCCTTTCTAAGGGGAAACCCCTGCTGATATTCTTAACTTGATTTCTGTAGGCAAAGGTACTACTTTTAAAAGTCTATGATATGTAACTAAAAACCTCTTTTTAAACCATATATTCCAGGAAGATTATTTTGCCACCAAAACAGAATTACTGATTTGGTAAACAATTCTCCAATCATGTATATCACATACATAAGCTCTAAAACTCAAAGCCAATGGATGCAGGATTTCCATAAAGGGTGGGGTTGGGGGGAATTAGGTTCAGAGATAAATCCTGAAGCACTTAACATTCAGAATTCTAATTCATTCTCTAAGGGGCAAGAACATTCGTGAAAAATAATAAACAACTACATCAGACAGACATGAAATATTAAGAATTTCCCCCACATAACCTACCTTTTCTTTATCTTTTTGAAGTTGTTTCTCTAGTTTTTTGCCTTTACTGGTAGCATGTTTCAATTTTTCCCTAACTTGAACATCTTCCAAATCTAGTTTTGTAAATTTTTCTTTGTTCTCCTCAATAAATTTTGTGATTTTATTCAGCTTCCTAGCAAAGTAAGAAAATTGTATCAGTCACTATTTTGGATATTCAGATATTTCAAAGTGACCTTACATACCTTGCCTGAAACACCATGTAAATGTACCAAGTTCTTATAAGGTAGGATCCTAATACTACCTGCTTCAAGCTAACCCTCCCCCCTCCATCCATATTTGAAGGAGTTGTTAAAATGTGTGGTTATGAGTTATTTTGTCTTTCAAAGCTAGATTGGAAATAGTGACTATGATGTCTAGGTATATAACAATTTGACCATTTAAAAAAAAAGTCAAAACTCATTTTAAAGAATAAAAAAAGAAAACTGCATAGGTAAGGGATACTGGTGTCACTGAAGATTGCCATGAAAAAAGTAATGATAAAACTTTAAGACAACTAACCTGTCAGGTTAAATGCCTATTTTTGCAATGATGTTTTGTATTATTGAGTTCTGCCACTAGGGGGTAGCATCCTCCATTATTTTTAAGACCAGAGTTGGGCACTCAAACCTGTGATAATCATCAACTGGATGAAAGGCAATTCAGTTTTTTGGTTGCAAAAAGAAACCGTTTAAAATATTTTATATGCTGGCAAATACATTGCCCTCATATGCTGGTATTAAGTTTATATATAGACACACACACATACATGTCATAAAATAATCTACTTTTAGTACTTTCCAAAAGATTATTACTTCTCTATATCTTTTACAGCTTTATTCTTAGCTTTCATTTCATTTGATAGTATATTGCTCTTCTCATTAATTTCTTTGGTATCTTCATTAATTTTTTCCTTTTGAGTCTCCATTTCAGCAATTCGTTTCTGCAGATCATAACTAGAGAGAGAGAGAAAAAGCTATCAGAGATCCTAAAGTACCGTTTCTAAAACTCTGAAACTATTTTAAGTAAAATCAACTGTTTCTAAAGTTATCTAGGTCTTTGGAGGGGGAAGGAAGAAACCAACCCAGGGTCAAGGCTAGCATTAGGAACAAAATAGGTTCCATATAAACACAATTAGATCTGCTATTAGATGAATTAAAAAGAACTTCTAAGTAAAACTATTAAGTATTAAGCACAGTGATATTTGTGAACCCAACTTCAAGTAGGAGAGTTAAAAATTAACTTCACTACTATGGCAAAAAACTCTAATTTAATAAATTTATCACAACCACTTGCAGAATTTTTTTTTACTTCAGTCTTCACATTTCTCTAATACAGGGAGAGAGAACAGATTAGATTTTAATGTCAGAAACTAATACGAAAGTTGATAAATTAAGGTACTTACATGTAATATTGACAGACATGATTCTTTTTTCTAAATATTTCATTTTCCAAGGTAAGAAATTCAATGGCTATGTTTTTTTCTCCTTCTAAGGCATCCTTTTCCTTTTCTACCATCTTAACTCTGTTTAACTACAAAAGTTAAAAGGATAGAAATTGTTCATATTAAGTGTATTTGAACAGTCTCAATTTAAAATATGCCAACATGAGATAAAAACAAACTACATTAACGAAAAGTGTTTCTTTGAAATGTTCATAAGGAAAACATAAAACTTCGCTTAAACAATTATGATCTACCATAACTTGAATTATCTGGCTTAGTAAAATCTGTTAATCAATAAATGAAACATTCTGGTTTACAAAAGCCTACAGAAGATTCACCTTTTCTCCTCTGTGTTCATTTAATATTTCAACTCTCCGACACAAGATTTTAATAGGTTCATTTAGTCGTCCAGAACCAATTATATCTTCTAAATATTCAAGCATACCCTCATCGTGTTCAGTCTGGCCTTTTGGTTTCATCATAGCAATTTGTTCAACTTCACCCTTTAAAAAAAGTAATATTTCACACTCACTATATATGTTTGGCTATATCAGCCTCAAATGAGAATTAGAAACAAGTCAATTAACAAATCCAACATTAATTAGAACTAAATGATGTAAATCAGTAGCATAAAAAGATTTAGTAAGATGCAAATAGGACTTCCCTGATAGTTCAGTGGTAAAGAATCCTCCTGCCAGAGACGAGTTCGATCCCTGGTCTGGAAGATCGCACATTCCTCGGAGCAACTAAGTCCGTGTGCTGCCAACTACTGAGCCTGTGCTCCAGAGCCCAGCTTTGCAACAAGAGAAGCTACTGCAATGAGAAGCCTGCACAACACTAGACTAGCTCCCATTCGCTGCAACTAGAGAAAGCCTGTGCAAAGTAACAGAGACCCAGCACAGCCAAAAATAAATAAATAAAACTATATAAAATTCCAAGTAAAGATGTTCTAACTTTCTAAACAAACAAACAATTAAATGAAAAAGGAAATACTATTTTCTCTCATGGTAATAATAGGAATAAGCCAACTGACTGTAAACTAAAGGTCTTGGTACATACACTGAAAACTTTTGCTTGCAATCATTATTATAACAACTTTTAAACTATAGTTAAAATCTAAAATTAACATTATATATTTGCACTTATGCAGTTCAGTTACAAAGAGAAAAGAAAAAAATCCAGTCAGTAACTTTCAAGGCTGACTGAAAGGCAGCCATTTAGCTTGATGGGGGAGAAAATTTTGTCTGAATATGCTCAGGCAAAATGCTACTTTACTACATACCAATAGCCTGCATGTACTCTTTATTACAAGAGAAGAAAAGGGATACACAAGTAGAAAAATAAAAACATATCCCTTTATTTCTGCAAAACAGCTAAGACTGAAAAAAATTTTTTAAAAGGGGGCATATATTCTTTCTCAATTTAAATATCTACAGTATTTATAAATGAAACTTAAAAATCTGGGTTAAAACAGACAGTTTAATGACAAAGTTATATATAATGACAGTTATAATGACAAAGCATCATATTACCAAAATCTTCAATAAAATTATACACAGTAGAAAAAAAACTAAAGACCAAACAAGAAAGGATAAAACAGTTCCTTTAAAAACTACTCATTAGGGACTTCCGCTTCCATTGCAGGGGGCACTGATCTCCAGTAGGGAATCTAAGACCCCATAATAGGGGGGAAAAAAATCTACTCAAAATCAAAATTAAAAACAATTTTATAGATGACCCCTTTTCTGTACTTTGATAACAGCACATGATTATAAAACACAAGGGAAATGTTATCCTAAGAGCCTGTCATTGTTTAAATTTCTCTGTAACCTTGGGTATGTATGAATTAGATTTAGCTAAATATTAGTGTTTAAACTAAAACATGTAGACATTTATATAAAGTATTTTGTTCTGCTTTCAATTATCAGTTCTTTCCAAATATTTTAGGTAAGCTTTAAGTTTTAGACAGAACTTAAGCCTGGAAGAGTATCTAAAGCTTTGGATCACAACAGGTGAGACTCTAGCCATCGTACAAGCCAAGACTTATTCAGTTTTTATCTAAACAAGGTTTATCAACAGCAACATTGCTGACATTTTGGGCTGAATACTTTGTTGTGGGGAGCTATGCTGGGTAGCATAAGATGTTGAATAACATCTCTGACCCTACCTACTAGATGCCAGCATGAAGCTTACCCCAGCTGTTGACAGCCTAAACTGTCTCCAGACAATGCTAAATGTATTGGGGGAGAAAGCAACAACTACTCCCAGCTGAGAATCACTAATCCGGAAGTAGTTTAACTTTTTTATGTCTGTGTTTATAATCCAAATATCTGACACCAAATAGTCTAATATTCTAATTCGATTTGAATAGCTGAACACTTACTGTAAGATAAATGAAAATTCATGTCAAGAGAACTTACGTATCTGAGTCAAATCACATAAGGTATTATTTAGGCATACATTTTTCAGATAACCAGAAGTTATGATTTGGTGTAACAATGATAAAAAATATTCCTAAGGGCATCATACTTTTCCAGGCCAAATTATTTACTGAAGTGATGGAATACTACTATTAGGAGACTGCCTAATAAAAACAAAGCATAGTGGTTGCTTGTTTTTGGTCACTTGTTCCTCCCTTTCCAATTAAAATGAAAGATATATAGCTCTGATTTCTTTTCATTCTAACAAGGTTGCCCAGCAGAAAAAAACATTTTCAAGTCAAAGACAAGGACATTTATGAATCAACAATTCCATCAAGTCCCATGTAACACTGTTTTCATTTGTTATATGGGATCCATTAAAAAACGGTTATTACCAATTAACACTACTGAATCAACAGGTTATTAGAACATTTAGGCCTCTGCCTGTCAGGTGACTATTAGGACTGCTGTGGTATTTCAACAACAACCTGAGACCTTTCTTGTGGTTCTGTTCCTTGATGTTCTCTGACTGCCTTAGCACTTGCTACTATTTGTTTTCTTCCTTGTTTTTCCATTTTGTGTCATTTCATGTATAATCTGAGGGCTGACAGTCTAGGCTTAGAGGACCACCCATTTCAGAAAACGTACCTATCCCAAAATGAAATTACAAAGTAGTTTTAATTTCAAGCTCAGTACATTTTAGAAATAATCTAAAACCTGAATTTAAAGTCACCTTCAAAGCTCCAAATCACAAACAGTGGTAGTATGGTAGACAAAAACCCAAACAAACAAGTTTCAAGTTGCTATAAAGCTAGCATCTGAAGCTGACAGTTTTATAGGCCTCCTCAATGTTATTTCTATTTTCCATAGCTTAAATATACTAAACAAGGTTTTAAACAAATTTCTTCACTGTTGTTTACTACTAACTTCCTATGTTTTAATTTGTATTTACACTCTATCAGAGATATTAAGCAACTGTGGAAAATACCATTTATGGTTTTTAAAAGCAACATAAAAATAGCAAGAATATGTCAAGAGGATATTTATAATATCCAAGGCCTAAACCTTAACTTATTGATCTGGGCAGAAAACCAAGATATTGTGACTCATTTACAGCATTCCTCAATAATCTAATTTACAATAATACAGCTTAAAAATCTAAGAGGAATACATAGGTACGATGCTTTATCTTTACTGAAACAGAATCCAAATTTTACCAAGCATGAATCACAGGAGATTCAAATATAGTACATACATAATAAAATGTTTTTTCCTAATAAGGAAGGCCTTAAGATTTAAGGTAAATATGGGTGTTTGCATCAAAATTAAATGGTCCAGATTTACTAGGCTTTGACAGTTTGCCTTGGTTGTATTTTTATTTTCTCCATTTTCTACTTTACTGTTAAGTTACTGGTTTTTTTTTTTTAAAGTTACTGTTTTTATGCTATTCTAATAAATTTTTAATTTGTGAACTAACAAAGGCTAAGAAGCTAACGACTGAGGTTAGTACCTGTAAAACAAGTGCATAAACAGAAAGGACAATGCTTTAGGAGGTAGACTGATTGGCATTTATTTTGGGTGCTTAGGGATAGTTTCTTTCATATAGTTGAGGTGTTGAACAAGACACTTTTGGATAACTGAAGTACTACTGATAAAACTAAAACAACTTCTTTTGAAACAGCACAGTCTTATTTCTACAGATAAAAGATCAGAATCCAAGTAAGCTTATATGTTATGCCTGGCGGAGAAGTATACTGGAAAGAAAAAATGAACAGGTAACTCAGATCTTGGTTAATCCAATCTCCAAATTACTAAATAAGAAAAAAAAATCTTAGTTATTTTTAAATTTTAGTTTATATTTTAAAATATGAAGACAAAAAGCATATGAAGTTGAAAACTGTGACAAAATGAGCTACTGTGAAATCTTTCAGCTAATAAAAACTCTACTTGTTCATACCAAGAATTATGACAATGGGAAACCAGCTCTCCAACAAGGTATAAACAGGGAAATGTACAAAAATGTACAAAGTACAATGGCAATTATAACCTAACACTTTTGGAAGGCATGTATAAATGCCTGTAAGGACAAGAAATAGACTTCTACCATCTTTGGATCATTTATAGTATCTCAGTTTAGTGACTCATTAGGAACTCATTAAAATAGCCAACGATGAAATTTTAAATGATTTCAAATACTAGAAATACCTACTTGAAGAACCTACTATACCATTATAAATACTATAAAAAAATTATCCTTATGGACTTCTAAATTTCAGTGCTTTTTAGTCTAAAAAGTAAGTTTTCACTTTAGCTGAATTTGTATCACTTAGCCTGTTAATCACTACCACTGGCCAAAGAGCCTACATTTTATTCAAAGCAACCACCTATGTCTTAGATGATGATATTCTGATGGTCCCAGGTTCCCAGTCTCCCAAACTAGTTAGTTTTTAAGATAATGTTATTTAGTGGGAGATAAGGTAATGAAAACTGTATTCTTACTTACCTTCAAATGTTTTATATCTCTAGAGCAGGAGTCTAAGATTTTGATAAGGAACTAAATAAAAATCCATAAAAACCACTGATACTTTCCCTCAAACTTTTAAATTATCTATCTAGTCCAGTCCCTGTTTCTTCTTCCTAACAGGTGAGCCCTTAAGATTCTTATCTGTAAATTTAATCAAATGGAATTCAATTTGTTAATGTGGAAAGTTTACCTTGGTATTAAAAATGATTTCAACAATGTAACTGTTAAGATGATTAAAAACAAGTTGAGATTATGGGGATAAAGGGCTTAAGCATCCTGGACACTTTAGAAGCACATATTGAATACAAAATTTACAATTTAAGAACTACTCTTATTTACCTCTTTGGGATGTTACTTTATTTAATTCCCTTTATTCACTGAATTATGTAGAAAGGCTATACCAAAGAAAAAAAATTACCCTTACAAGAGTTAAAATGCAGTCTATTTTGATAAGTCTATGTACAGGTATAAAACTTTATCTTAGGGTGATAGTAAATACACAGCAAATAATAAGATAAACACAACAATAAGCTCCTGCAAAATGGTATCATTATCAAATTTAGTTTTCTAATGGGGCATAACTTTTTAATCCATAATTAACCAAATCAAATCCCAGAACAGTTAAATTTGATTAAAAAACACACATAGCTTTAACCCCACATTTATGTAAATTCAAATCTCATTTAGAAATATATCTGCTAATGATTTCCCAACATCCATTTTAAATTAAGTTTGGGTTACAGAAGTATACAAATGAACTGGTAGTAAGATACTAACATAAGTCATCCCAGAATGATATTTATTTACTTTCCACATACATTATGTATAAATAATTTTTATTTTTTAAAAATAGTTGAAAAATATAGACTAAAATGGAAATAGCAGCTAACATTTTGTAAGTTTCTTACTGGGAACACTCAGCCACACTAACAGAACTTTCTCAAACGTAGTGCAGGACACTAAAGAATATCAGCTGCTCTTTCTACATCACAACAGTTCTCCTCTTAAGCCATGCTTTCACACTAACAAATTTCTTGCAAGGTAAAACACAGAGAAGATAAAGGATTTTCTTACCAAGCAAATCTGGTAGAAAATATCTTTACTCAAATAAAGAAAAGAGTTTCTAATAAAAATCAACTTAACACCAAGTTCTTAATGTTATACCTCCTTAAAAAGACTTTAACAGTATGATACTTAAGAATGAAATATCACTTTCTAATTTTCCAGTAGTAGTGGTTCAATAGGCCATTTAAACCAAAACAAAGAGCTTGTATGAGCTTTTAATTGACCATATTGTTTAAAAAAAATAAAAAATTAAATCAGAGAAGTCTGTCAAACACCTAGTATTCAGAGTGTTTTTTTTTCTTTTTTTTTTGGCGTATATATTAGTAGAGATTACAAATAAGAACAAAAGTAAAAGAACTATTAAAAGGTAACAAATCTTATTTAAAATGTTATCATAAAGAGAAATACAAACAGAAATGATAAATAGTTGCTATGTCCCTGTCACGCTAAAGCAGCACAATAATATTGGTGTTTAATATTTATTTTACTACGCCAATATTTACGTGCTGCTAGAGCGGAACAAGTATGTCAGTCCATCCAAACAAAATGAGCATATGATGATGAAAATACAGTTTTGAATGCATTTCCTTAAATTTCTAGAGCAGCAAATAATGATTCGCATCTTGACTGTAGTATGTAAACCATGATGTGCTGCTACAGTACTTTAAGGCTTCAAAAATACAGGATTCATCCAACAGGAAAAAAACCTCTTTATACTTTTATTAAAAGAAAAAAAGAGAGAACCTCTGATGTCTTAATAAACTTACCTGTAAGATTAAAAATCTATTATGGTCCAAGTCAATTCCATGGCTTCGAAGAAGAATTCCAACATCCTTAAATGTAGTCTTCTTCCCACTTACGTGATAAACAGAAGTATTATCTCTGTAGGCCGTTCTGGATACATAGAAGTTACTGTTAGGAATGACTTCATAATCATCCCCTTCCTGTTTTGAGGAAAAACAAAACCAGAAAACAATTGCTGGTGTTAAGTCATAAGTTTGCTTCAAACTTCACTCAATTCATATTGAAACCAATTCTATGGATTAAGAACTTTAACTGGATATGTACAAAAGCTGACAATAGTTCTAAGAATTAATTATCTTAGCAAAGAATAGAAATAATTTTCTATTTCTATGGAGTTCTTGGTCTCCTTCCTCACAGATCACAAAAACCAAAAAGTCAAACCAACTAACTACACCTTCAAGCCTAAAAACATACATAACTGAGAAAAGAACTGAAGGGAAACAAAAATCCCACTGTATCCAAAACAAACTCACCCAAAATATTAAACCACCTTGATAGATTATATTAGTTCATTAAAAAAAGCTGCAAGGGATGATTCAAGGAAAAAGGGAGGGGATAGTAGTGCAGTGATGTAGATTAATTTTTGGAGGGTGGTGGTGGTGAAAAATAAGCTATTAATTAAAGGTAAAAAGAACTGCAAAGAACTGACAACTACATTTCCCTGTTTTTTAATCAAACAAAAAGAAATGAAGGGCAAATCTGCTTTAACATTAAAACTTGCTTTCCTTTAAAAACTGTCATTTTGAAACCATGACTTTTAAATTTCACACAAATCAAGTGTAATTAATAAGCTACAAAATCAAATCAGATTTACTGGCTATCTACTTTCCAACCCAAACTGTATAACAGAAAAGCAATAAGAAACAAAATTAAAATATATACTACCATGAAAATTTATTTAAAGCTCTTTATATTAAAATTAAAAACAACAAGACCTAGAGGCCAAATCACATCCTCATTTCATTATGTAATTAGTTTTCTACATTTTTAGGTTCCAGCCAGTTTTGAACTATGAATTCCCAAAGCTGATTCTTAAACAGAAGAGAAAAAAACCCCAGTACCAACAGAGCCATGTAAATAACCCAAATATGCATTTTATGTACAACTGTCTCCTTTTAGAGGAAAAAAAAAAGTTAGTTTATCCTTCTACTGTTTTAAAAGTTGATATGAAAGCAAAGTTCTTTCATATCACACATATAGATTCCTACTAACTTTAATGTGAATTGAAATAAGGAGATGGTAAAATTAGTCAACTGTTACATTTTCAAGTTTAGGTATAACTTATCTGAAAGCAATGAAAACATAACTTTAAAAACAAATCCAAAATTTATAATAAAAGAATGCCAAATTGGTACTCAAGATACTAGAACTGCTCAAAAAGGTATTATTATAAACTACTTATAATTCATTTCCCTGGCTAAAAATCTTAACATTTTAAGTTTAACAGCCACCATCACACCTCAAAAAGAAAATATGATCACGGAGGCAATGAAATCAATATTAGTTCTGCTTTAACCACATACTATTTTTTACAAGCTAATTTAAGCCCCAAATAATAAAATGTGTAATGCAATGAAATCCTGTGTTCCTTACTTGAAGATACAAATAACGAAACAAAATCCCTTACCTTATCAATTATCTTTTGAAAATGAACAGCTACAGTGCAACTCTGAATATCCTTATGTTCATCAGAATTGTGTATTAGAACTGAGAGTTTTTTAGATCTTATTTTTTGGGCTCGATAGCCAAATACAAAAAGCATAGAATCAATAACATTGGATTTGCCACTGCCATTTGGCCCAATAATACAGGAAAATCGCTGCATAAAAAGAACAGGAAAAAAAAGTTAAAAAGGTTGTACTACTGATTTTAATTTAAAATGGTTTAACTTGCAGCAAATCTACAAGTATTTAAAAAGCTTTTGCTGCTAGAAGATCGTTTTCATACATCATATCTTGTATGTTACAAGTTTCAACACTTTAAATAAGATCATATTCTAATTCTGACTCAGACTTTTTACAAAATTCATTTCTACAGTTAAAGAGAAAATAATTCTTTTCAAACATAAAACCCACAAATTCTATTCAGTGAAGAAAATTTTATAAAGAAAGGTACCAAAAGATAACCAGATAAACAAAAGCTAATTTCAGTAGTTAAAAGCATAGAAACCACACCATGTATGTATCAATCAGGATAAATACAATAACTACAAAACTGAAACAGTTTGTAATAACAAATACCTTACAACAGCTATTTAAAAATGGTCAAATACCTTATGGAAAGGTCCCAGAATTTTTTCCCCAGCATAAGATTTGAAGTTCTGGTTTACAATATGAGTTATCATAAGACGAGGAGCTCCAGGTTCATTGGTCATTGCAGGAGGTGGGGGAGGAGGGATGCTATTCAAAATCTCTTCTAAACTTCTATTATCAATTTCCTCACTTGGAGTTTCTAAGTCAGTCAAAGGAAAGAATAAAAAGAGGGAGAGGGTAAGCCTGCATCAGTCAATTTGTTAGCCTGCTAATCTTTCGAGAGACGTCGTTTACGGAACCTAGGAATCTCTATGTTTTACTCAAATACAGTATTATATTCATAAAAGATGAGAGCCTTTAGGCTTTGTCTTATAAAAAAAGAAAATTTTTGAAAGAGATGCCGTCACAAAATTCTATAGAAACATACCTTTTAGGAGTCAATACACTACATCGTAATGAAAATCTGGAAAATCCATCATCACTTGAGTCCCTGCTCCCTGCCTAAACAGGTGGTCAAATCCTAGGGCTCTAGATCCAACTCTCAGTATCCGTTAAGCACCTGGAACCTTAACTTTGGACACTGGCGAGCTCCAGTGACAGTTACAGGGGTTTCAACTCACTCAATTCCTGGACTCACAAAACCTACGGCGCCTGCGGCCGTGGGAGCAAATTATCTCCTCTTTGAAATTTTAGATCACCGAGGTGAAGTTGTACGATCAAGCAACTTTTCATCATATTAACAAATAGTTAAGCTGACACTGAAAAAAGTCCACTCTGGCTGACCATGTCGATTTCCGCGAAATATAAGGCAATGACCAGAAGTTCAGAATTGAATCTACTTACTAGCCCCCATCCCTCCAGCACCGTTAACCGAAATTTCACACTCTCCAATCTGTGAAAATCGCTTTCTTGACCTTCGGATGTCAACCCCGCAACCCCTGTCGTCCGCGCCCTGGAATACCAACCGTCCCGGGTTGGGTGCCGGGTCTCCACGCGCTTGCCCTCGGCGTGACGAAGGGCTACTCACCTGCGGTGGCCAGCGCCTGGCTCCTCGCGCGGCCGGGCGGCGGATCCGGCTCCGCGTCGCTGCTGGTGCCGTCCGGGGACCGCGGCGGCCCTTCCTCTCTGCGACGGGCAGTGGAGGGTTGGGTGCCTTTACGGGGCATTGTCGCTGGAGCCGAGGGAAAGCCGGGAGCAAGTCAGCCGGTGCGGGCCGCCGGCCCTGCCGGCAAGTTCCCCGCCGGCCCGCGACCCGTCCCATTAGAGGAAAAACTGCGTCCACCCGTTTTCTAGGGCTCCGTTTAAAAACCCCGCGCAACGCCAGCGAGTCCTCGGGAAAGGCACAAAAAAACAAGTGCCAAGAAGGCGGGATTCGCTCAAGTTCTAAGCAAGTTCCTAGACGTGCTTGCGGAGCCAGCGAAGAGAGCAACTGCTTAAGTTCTTTTTATTTTTTTAATGCCCACCCCTCCGCCGCCCACAGTGTAAATGTGTAAGAATACTGTAACGTCATTTCTAAACGAAGTTATATCCCGCACGCCGACATTTACAGACATTCCCACACTCTCGGGGCTAGGGATCCAAGCGCACAGATTCTTGTCTCTGAGTCCGTTCTAGCTTTAGGTTTGAGGGGTTCTCAACACTTCCCAGAGCAGTCGGGAACGAAGTGGCGGTTCGCCGCCCACCTTCCTCTCCCCGCCATTTAGCCCTTGGCGCGGCTGACGGCCCGGGGGCTTTAAGGTCTCCTCAAAGCCAGCCGGGGACCTGCGGCTGGGGTCGACCGCTCGCGATTTTCAAATCGGAAGCCGGCAGCACCAGCTCCGCTTCCATCACCCTGGGGTGGCAGGGGTTTGTCCCTCTGAGGTCCGCGGCGAATTCCGCTGGACAATGAACTACGAAAGGCCACCAGTAAGGGCTCAGACTCAGTGATTAGTCCCTCGGGAGAAGAGAAACGGGCAGAGGGCCGGGACGGGGGCGATGTCGTAGTCCGACCAAGATTTCTGAGAAAAGGTCCGCGAGGGCTGAGAGGGCCCCCCGCCCCGTGGCCCCAGTCCCACGATCGACGCCTAAGTAGCTCAGAGAAGGGACGCCCGGGAGAAGCGCGCGGGAGCTTCGACCGCCGGGGAGCGACTGAGGGGGGAGGGGTGACAGCGAGCGAAATCTCCCCGAGGCAGCCTCAGCCTAGACTTCGGCTGCTCCAGCTCAAGGCCTCTTTCCAGGCGCCCGCGGACCGGGCAGGAAGTGAGAGTGTGACAACCGATCAGGGAAAAAAGTACTTTACCTGCGGGATAGTCTTCTCAGACCGAGGCTGGAAACGGTTGTATAGCCCCCCCACCGGCTGCTACCGGTGTTTCGGCTCCGGGTCCTTCACTCGAAAATGGCGCCTAAAATACAAACTCGAACGGAAATTCGTTACAAATGCGCGCAATGCTTTCTGGGAACCACTAATTTGAAAAAAATGCGGCGATTATCGCCATCTTCTGATACCTTATGCGCATGCGCGAACTCCTGGCGGAATCCACGATGCAGGGAACGTTTTCTACTAAGTGAAAAAAGGCGAAACAGTGTTTTCCATGGCCCTACGGCGATAGCACTCTTATAATTTTTTTTTTTAAAACCTTGCGAATTTTGAGAAAGATAAAGTGGAATTCGCCCTGCAGTTTAAGTCAAAGATCAGTCATCCAATAACGTCCCTTTAGAAGAGGGCGGGCCCACTGAGGGGCGGGGTCTTAGGCCCGCTCGGGTGACGCGCTGAGGGGAAGTATCGCGCGAAGAGGGAGTGAGCTTAGCTCTTAGAAGTCGCTATGGTGACAGGGAGGTCCGCTGCTTCTTGGTAACTGGTCCCAGTTCTGTGAGAAAGATCGATCCCGTTTTCCTGGAACTTAAGGTAAGTCTGTTTACTTCCAAGAGAGAGGTGAGGAAAGGGTTTGGAAGTTGTGGCCTTTACTGTATTCACCTTTCCTGCTTTGACAGTGTGTGCGGCGTGGAGCATCGGTTATTTCCCGTCTCACTGGGCGCTCTGGACTTAGCTTTTGGGATGCGAAGGAGGAAGCCTTGAATTTGGAGGGAGCAGAGGGGCAACACGGAGGAAAGATCTGGATTGGTGAATGATTGTGTAGTGAATACCAAATAATGATTTCGGGTTATTGGTGTTAGGTCATTAATGTCACTAGTGAAAGGGGGTTTTGAGTTTTTTAAATCATTCGACTGAAAGACTCTGTAATGGAAGAAACGATTTGCTTGCTGGTGTCGTCTGGTTATGAGGAAATTATTAATCAGCAGATATTTCTTAAGTAGCTTCTGTATACACTGCACTCTCAGGCATAATCAGGATTATTGAGCAAGTATTCCTGTTCCCAGATAATTTAGTTTTGTTAATGGGTTTTTAACTAGGAGTTTGTGGATCTGGTAGTAGGTGATTGGGGTTCAGAGCAGTTCATACCACTTCTCCACTACTCCAGCCCCTGCCCGCCCCCGGAATTGAGTACAAAATTCTGTGTGCTTGTGAATTTTTCTGGGGAGTTAGTTTTTCGAGAACTTTGATCAGATTCTTAAACTTGGTCCTATCCCATCTCACTGTTAACCATTCATTGATCTGAATAAGTCCAACAAACATTTATTCAGAGACTCTTAAGTACTTGACTGAGAACTGGGAGTCTTTTTTATTCCCCCTTTTAACTTTTGCATACTTAGGACTTGGCATGCTGAGGCTCTAATAAATCAGCTTTATGAGTGAATTTACATTGTCATTCTAAGTAAGAAAGTATGATTCTTGCCCTGAGGAACATCATATTAAGGTTCAGTGATTCTCAAGAATTGAAGGTGTGGAAGACACTCCCCTGAAGTGTAAGAATTCGGTGAGGTTGAGAGACTATGGTGATTTGAATAAACATTGACTCCGTATTGTAATATACTTTTTTTATTTGTAGTTGTAAAAAATTATTTTCATAAGACGAACTACAGAAAATAAAGCTCAATGAAAAATTTGGTTGGTAGGTGTACCAGAACAAACATCAGTTCTGTTTGAAATCATCTGGAATCTTTTGAATTTTCAAGTCTGTAAAACACTACTAAACCCAAGTTGGAGAGATATTAACCCTGAAAAAAAGCAAAGACTAGACCAAATTGAGTAATGTATATGGGAGACAGAGCACCATGTAGTAGAAAGATGTAACAGATAACAGAATCCCAAGTCTCATCATTTTTTTAAAGCTACCTACTTAGACCATGTACTCAGTTTGTCAAACTGTTTATTATGAAACTAGCATATAATACCTACCGCGTAGGATCGTTTATGATTGTTCATCTAGCATACACACTGCATGCATTTGATATTGCTGTGTTTATAACATTGACCTTGTTAGGGTATGTGCTAAGGTTGAATAATGGACTGTCAAGTTAGAAGAAGGTTAGTTCATGAAGAGTCTCGAAAACCAGGTCAAGGATATTAGATTGATAAATCTTCAAAATATTAGAAAAATTTTGAGCTATGGAGTGACTTGGTTAAAAAAAAAAGTTAACAGTTATGTGGGATGTGTAAAAAGAGAAAGAGACTGAGATCAAGTATGGCTTAGATCATTACTGTCCACTTTTCCATGTAGGAGGCGAGAGGCGCCTATGCAGTAGAATGGTAAAAATTTGGACACATTTAACAGTTAATAGTCTGAGCCCTTAAAGTTAGTCAGATAGTATACTTTGTGAATCCCTAGATTAGTGATGAGGGGATAAGAAAGATAAGCCACAAATAAATCTTAGTTTTACTACCTTTGATGGTTGTTGTAAATAATGTTTGGTCTTAGTGACTGATAAGAAATGTAATTTCAGAAAGTAAATAAAGTGACCAATAGCTTTAGATTTAGTTGAACCTGACCATAAATATTTTTTAAACAGAATAAATACTTTTTAAACAGGCTTAACTCAGATTGATAATGTAGAACAGACATTGATAACCAACAGCTACAGTGGAGACAACTCTAGAGTGAAAGTAGGACACTCAGAATAAGTGAAGAAGTGATCTGAGAAGAGATTAGGGTCACAAGAGGTAGACTTACTCCCTCTTGATTGATCCTTGCCAGTACTTTGCATAAAAAGAAGCTGGTTCTGTTGGGATGAACTCAAGTTAAAACCATCTTGGAAAGTATAACCAAGTCTCATCTTTCTGGTCCCAAATCATTTACTAACAGCCATTATCTATAATTTCAGGCAGTTCGAGAAGAGAACCTTACTTTTTGTATTTTAAAAAGTTGTACCCCACGGGAAGAAATAATAAGTTCAAGGGGAAAATTTGGAATAGAATTAAAATTAACATCTGCAGTTCTTTAAATGCATAGTTAAGTTTTGTCATCGTTATAATAATATGTGACAGAAGACGGAATCCAAATTGTCTTGAGGAAAAAAAAATAGCTTCCGTAAGCAAGAAGTTCAGTTCAGTTCAGTAGCTCAGTCATGTCCGACTCTTTGCGACCCCATGAATTGCAGCACGCCAGGCCTCCCTGTTCATCACCAACTCCCGGAGTTTACTCAAACTCATGTCCATTGAGTCGGTGATGCCATCTAGCCATCTCATCCTCTGTTGCGCCCTTCTCCTCCTGCCCCCAATCCCTCCCAGCATCAGGCTCTTTTCCAGTGAGTCAACTCTTCACAGGAGGTGGCCAAAGTATTGGAGTTTCAGCTTCAGCATCAGTCCTTCCAATGAACACCCAGGACTGATATCCTTTAGGATGGACTGGTTAGATCTCCTTGCAGTCCAAGGGACTCTCAAGAGTCTTCTCCAACACCACAGTTCAAAAGCATCAAGATCAGATTAAAGGATGCTACCCACTTGCCTTCCTTAGAATCTTGTAAATTTCTAGTCTGCCAAAATAAATTTTGAAATGGTCTTTAAAAAAAAAAAAAAAAAAAAAGCATCAAGTTTTTGGCACTCAGCTTTCTTCATAGTCCAACTCTGACATCCATGCATGACCACTGGAAAAACCATAGCCTTGACTAGACAGACCGGCAAAATAATGTCTCTGCTTTTTAATATGCTATCTAGGTTGGTCATAACTTTCCTTCCCAGGAGTAAGCGTCTTTTAATTTCATGGTTGCAATCACCATCTGCAGTGATTTTGTATAACTGGATTTAGTATTCAAAGAAAGAACTAGGACTGTGTTTCTTTGCTCTGCTTTATGTTCCCTTGTCTTGGCATTATTCTCAGACCTCACATAGTGGCCTGGGACACCACCATGCTCTCCCCTTGCTGTGGTAAGATAGTTATAGTAACTCTAGCCTTGAATCTAAACTGGAAAGCCTGGAAAGTTAAGAAGAGTCTTTCTTCCCTCTCTTTTAGTTGAATAAAAGTTTCCTTCAGAAAGCTCTAATTGACTTATGCCTAGGTCTCATGCTGACTCCATTGAAGCCATTTGGGCTAAGAGGGAGTAAGTGGTATTCCAAGAAGAAATTCTTGGTAGCTCAGAACAGAGTGAATATATGAAGGATAATGAAATACCAGCTTTCACTACAAATAGCTAATAGTTGAGTTCTTCCTATGTTTCAGGCAATCTATTGGACATTAGTAAGATGTCTTTTTTTTTCCAATCTCATGTCTACTCTATCTCATTTAACATCATAACCAACCTGTGAAGTAGGTATTATTACTCTCATTTTATATATAGAAGAAAACAAAGTACAGTGTTTGGAAGATCACCAAGTGAAGGTTTCAGTAAGAAGTGTGTCAAATGCAGTAGAAATTGCAAAGAGAATGAGAATGGTGGATCTTATGAAAAAATAACATTTATTAGGTTTTTTTTAATGCAGATATGCTTAAAGAAAAAAGCAAAACTAAACCATGAATATATCATTCAGATAATCCTATGTTAAAACTATAAATGTATGGATAAAATATTATGAACATGATAACTTCAAACAGTATAGAATAGTATGAAATGAGGATTAAAAGCTTCCCTTTTCACACCAGTGTCTCTACCCTTACAAAGTCTCCATTAAGTGTCTTGCACATCTTTTGAGAAAAACATTTTAGTATCCACTAACTTGAGTATATATCTCCTCCCCCCTCATTTTTTTTTTAACACAAAATAGATTTGAGTTACATAATACTACCGTATACTTTGTTTTTGTCATTTAAGATATTATAGACATCTTTCTGTATCGATACATATAGATTCATCTCATTTTTTAAATAACTGTACAGCATTCTAGTTTGTCAGTTGAATGTGATTTTTTTCTCTGCTAGTTGAATTAAAAGGATGAATTAAAGATGACTAGTTATTTTTAATTTTGTGAATCACATGGTTTATTGGCTCAAAGTTATTAGGCCATCCTGGATTATAAATAAAACCAATATGAATAAGATTAAAGTATAGCTAGCTCTACTTAGAGCTAGAATTGCAAGGAAATGTGAATACCACTCCCTATACATACCTGGGAAGCCCCAGTACATACACTTCAAATACGTACAGGAGTTGGAATAGAGTGGCGGTTGGAGGTCTTTAGTAATTGAACTATACTGCCAAGCCTGTTTCCATTGTTATTAGGTGTTATTATCTATCCCTGGAAATGGTGCATCTTCCCCTGCCTTCGCTGTTATATAAGAGATCCCAGCTTAGTCTACAAGTGGTTCTGTGATGGAACCAATCTGAGTAAAAGTCTGCTTCTCTCTCACTCCTGTCTTTACTGGAAAAGAGACTTAGGAGTCTCATCAGAGGTAT